ACACGTGCTAGGCAAGCACTCTACTACTGAGTCACAACCCCAGCCTTGTGGCTTACCTTTTAATCCTCTTTTCTGTGTATGTTGTGCTGGAGATTGAACCCAAGTCTTTGTGCATTCCCGGCAAACATGCTATCACTCAGCTACATCCCCAGCCCTTTTTAAAAATTTTTATTATGCAATAGGGCTTTGCTAAGTTGCTGAAGCTGGACTCAAACTTGCAATCCTTCTGCCTCAGCCTCCCAAGTAGCTGGGATTGAGGGAGTGTATCACCATGCCCAACTCCTTTTTATCTTTTTAAATATTTTCTTTAGATAAAAAACAGTCTGTTAATTTTTATGTAATCAGTCAATTATTTCACTCTTTTCTGTATGGTTGGCATTCTTGCATCCTGTTGAGTCTTTCCCCACAGGGAAGTCATAACATATTCTCCTAGATTATATGTTAGAAGCTTTATAGGACCTTGACCAAGTTGCCCCAGGTAACCTGGATTTGAAATCCATCAAGAGGGGGTATGGATTATATTGCTGCCCTCTCAGAATGCTCCTGGGCTCCTATGCAAACTTACTCACTCTCTGGTGCCCAGCCATGTCCAAGTTTCATGCATCAGTACTGGTTCACATGCACACCACCTGTATTCCCTGCCTCTCTGTCTCTGTCCTCTCCCATCCAGAAACCACACAAACTTTAGCCAAGCCCTGATGTCGGTATTTTTTCCCTGGTAGCTTCCTACTCTTCCTCCCATAGAGCAGTCTGCTTCCTTCTCTGGCCTCCTCAGTTCTGCCACCCTGGTCCTTACCTTCATGGTACAGAAGTGGCCTTAGCCAACCTACAGATCTGTCCTTGTTGGTAAAAGGAAGCAGGGGGTAAAAGTTCTATGACTCTACATTTGGGGCCTGACTTGGTTAAAACATCTAATCCCAGGACCCAGGGTTTATCTATCTCTCTAGCTCTTCCTACATACTGGGGATGAACTCACGGGCATCTACCACTGAGTTACATCCATACCCTTTTTATCTTTTATTTTCAGACAAGGTCTTTCTAAGTTGCTGAGACTGGCCTCGAACTCAAAATCCTCCTGCCTCAGCCTCCGGAGTCACTAGGAGTACAAGTATGTGCCACTGTACCTGGCCTCCTTAGCTTTTTTAAGTCATTGGAACAGAGGGTTAGATTAATTTTCCTTACTTCATGGTACACACTCATTACTGGTTTGTCCAAGGTTCCACTCTTACTTATTTCTTTTTATCCCCACTTTCACTGTCATTTCCCTCCCCGCAAAGACAATCACTCTAATACACTTGATTTACATCTTTTATTTGTCGGCCTTCTGATTTATAAAATATATAGTCATTTTGTGTGCATGCTTTTTTACTTATATAGATGATGTGATGTAGATTTCATTCTGTTTCTTGTGGCACTCAGCAGGGGTGTGTGTGTGTGTCTGTGTGTGTGTGTGTGTGTGTGTGTGTGTGTGTGTGTGTCTGGGTGTACATACAGGCCATTGCATCTCACTGTTTCTTAGCACAGCAACCATAGCCTCTGCAAGCACCACCTCATAGGGCACAAAAATAGAGTTGGAGCTGGGACTTCCTGTTGTTGTTGAAGGCAATGATACATTCAGAAATCATTGTATAAAGCTGTAAAAGCAAAGAAGTCAGTTTGAAATAAACAGACCCACCCATCAATATCTAAAAACCAACTATGCCCAGCTGAACCAGCAGTCTTGGGAAAATCTAGACTTCCCAGTGCTGTCCTTAGTTTTCCTCTAGACCAACTCCTCCAGGCCAAGGATCTCTGCTCACTTAAGGGGGGATTACAAAAATAAAGTTGTAAAAATGTGATAGGAATGTGCGAGAAACGTTCATGTGAGAACATGAACCTCCCACGAACTGGTACCTGAAGAGGCAGTCGAGGCCTTTGAGCTTTGCAAAAATAGGAGATGACCCAAAAGGCTTTGCAGTAAGAGAGAAATGGCATGTGTACCAGCACCAACTTGCACACTCAAATGCTGTGCCAGAATTGATGGTAACAAGAAGTGGTGGCACCAGCAGGAGCTTCATTCTCTGGGCAGCCTTGACAGAGCCAGAAATTCCCTCCATGTCCAAGTAGAGCAGAGACAAGGAAAGGTTCCCACCAACCACGGGACAGCCGTTGGAAGATGCTAACCCACACCCACCCTCACGTGGGTTCTAAGAAGTTGAGAATTACATTGAAGGAGACAGGTGGGGGTGAAAGCCAGGGCCTCCTTCATAATGCTAATGTTAATTAGAGTATAAAGCTTTCTACACCTTTCTCTCTAAATTGGAGGTAAGGGGCCAAGTAGGACTGACCTGATGTACCCAGCAAGTTTCAGGTAACACGTCTTCAACTCAGAGCAGAGACCCGGCTGGATATAGCAGAGGCAAGGCCTGCTTACTAGAGACTGAAAATGTCTCTTGAGCCCACTAAGCCTAGGTACAGGTGGTCCAAGGGGAAGAGAGAAAAAAAAGAGATACCTTGCTTTGCAAACTGCCATCAGTATCATGGAGTTATCAATTTAGCTTCTACTCATGCTGTAGGAGGAAGTAAAGAGGGAAGTGGAGGGTGAGGTGGAGATTTCCTCACAGCACTTTTGTAAGGGCTGAGCTACTGTGCGAAGTTCCTTCTATCACAAGCAAAAGAAAGCATGTTCTGGGCTGGGGCTGGGGCTCAGTAGTAGAGCGCTTGCCTAGCATGTGGGAGGCACTGGGTTCGTTCCTCAGCACCACATTAAAAAATAAAGTTATAACATGTCCATCTACAACTAAAAATATTAAAAAAGAAAGAAAGCCTGTGCGGAGAAGATGAGAAAGGTCCCTGCTGCAGAAGTCTGTGAAGGCCAGATGCAAATGACCGGTGACTTAAAAATCCAAGTGGGAAGAAACCAGTTTGATGCTCCTTAGAGCAGCTAGGTTGGAATCAAAAAGAAAATTAAAATTTATGACTCTTCTGATGACACTTCTTTTCTACACACAGACACATTGTGGTAGCCTGGAAATTTTAACCCATATTTTGGAAGCCCTACTGAAGGGATTCCAACCTGGTCAGCTCCCATACTCCCTGGTGGGTATGGGATTTTCCACTTCTCAGCTCCAGCATGATGCATTTTTATGGTGGTCAAAAGCTTTGTGACAATGGCTTTGAGTAACACTGGGCACTTCATCAAACTGAGACACCAACCAGGAGAGAGGCCAGCAGAGAGAGGCCCACCTAGTACCATGGCAAGTTGTCTTAGGGAACGGCACAGTGTGAACCCCCTTGAGAAGAGTCAGGAATGTTCTTGAAGCTTGTCTGAATGGAGAAACTCATAGACACTGACTTGGAAGAGAAATTCAAGGCAGAATCCACTTCTCACTCCCCAGAGACCTAGGAGAATTTTCCCTGGAATAGTACTAAAATGATAGAATAGTCAGTTGGCCAGGCAAAGCAGCCTGAGACAGTAGCTACATTGAAGAAATATTCCAGAAATAGCAAAATTATGAGGCAGAAAAAAACAAAAACCATAAGCTAACAACAGACTCAGAGGCTTACCTGGGTGGCTGAGAAAGAATCCAGGAAGACCCTGGTGTGCATTTGAGCACATGGCGAGTAGCTGGGATCTAAACTGTCAATACCCACAAAAGCAGAGATGAAAACCTCAGAATGGGCATTGATCATGAAAACACCTGCAGGAGCATAGGAGAGAAGGCCGAGCGTGGTCAGGGGTGAAATCAAATGATGGCTACAGGATACTCAGAGATACGGAAGTTTGTGTTTTATTTGTTATTTGGTGGAGCTTTAGTTTTTAGATCAAATTGCTCTGAGAGGTTGAAGCAGGTAAAGGAGAAGATGGCTTATGAAATGAGGAGCTTATGAAATGAGGAGCTTATGAAATGAGGAGCTTATGAAATGAAGGGTGGGAGAGGATGAGACCCAAAGTGGATTTGAAAGAGGGGTGCCATACCTCTTCCACTGATCTGTGAGCCCAGGCCAAGGACAGAAGCAAAGGCAAGTAAGTTGTGGATGGAGTGCAGGAAATGGAAGGAGTGCCATCTCACTGCTGCTGTCTTCTCTGTGAGGGCTGAGGCCATTGCTTAGACGAACAGGCGTGAAGCTGTGGGGAAGAGCAGCAGCAGCTTACATAGCCATTGGGGAAAACAGGTGAGGCCCTGGGACACTGGGCCAACAAGGGCAAGCAGGGTGAGGGAAGGGTCATGGAGCAGGAAGTGCAAGGAGTATGACAGGAATTGGACTGGAAAGGACACTGTCCATATTGGTAAATCCTGGGGTCTGGTGCCTTTTGAGAGTCCCCGACCTCTCTAGCTTCTTTGCTCCCCAATAAGAACCCGTTAGGGTTTGCCACATGACTGAGGCCAATATCTTGTAATGGTGACAGGACTCAGAGTGGCACATGCCTGCGAGGGCTGGAACCTTTAAGACCATCCTGACCTGGAGGCCAAAGACACCAAGTGGTATCTCACAGAGAGTCGCGTGGTCCAGCTCCATATTTAACAGCTGAGGAAACTGAGCCCGGAAAGGTAAACATGGCGGTCTAGGAGGGATCCTTAGCAGATCTTCCATTCCTAATCACAGATTATTTTCAGGGGGAAGGTGGAGTCACTGACCTTCTGAGGGATGAGGTGTTGGCTGCACTCCTGGACGACAGGCATGACATTGAGTTCTCTGCATCCCCACTCTCCAGGTGAGGACTTCCTCTCTTCCAGGTCCTCAGGAGCCAAGGACTATGGACAAGTGTGGATGCAGTAGCTCCTGAGAATGGGAACCATACAGGAAATGGGCCACGGAGGCAGGAATATGTTTGTAGGCAAAGCAGGTCCTCATATTGGCTAACCACACCAGGCAGTAAGTTAAGCATTTCAAAAGCTTATTGCCACTTAAAAGGGGAAAAAATATCACACCAGCCTGGAGAACTTAGTGAGACTCTGTCTCAAAATCAAAAACAAGAGCTGGGGTTTTGGCTTAGTGGTAGAGTGCTCGCCTAGCATGCATAAGGCACTGGGTTCAATCCTCAGAACCACATAAAAATAAAGATACTGTGTCCACTTAAAACTAAAAAATAAATATATTTTTTTAAAAGGGCTGAGGGTGTATCTCAGTGATAAAGCACCCCTGGGGTAGGTCTCCAGTACCAAAAAAAAAATAAGTAAAAAAGCTCAGTAACTCTCAGCAACAACTCTGCCCATCACCCATCATGCCCTTCACTGGATCTGTCTGGGATTCTACATGTGAACCAGCCCCTGGCACCTTCAATACCACTGAGGGCCTGGCCTTCCTTAGCTCTCCTTCCCACTCTCTGGTTCCTGGGTAGAACCATATCTGCACACAAAGCTATGGCCTTCAAAGCCTCAAGGAAAAGCCAGCTGCCTCAGTGTCCCCCCAGTGATGTACTGGCCCCTGGTGAGTATAGGTAAGACATCAGAAAGAACAAAACTGAGGTCTCGGCCTTGCTCAAACAGCCTGACCTCTCGCCCTGCGCTCTGGACAGGGGCCCAGCACACTCTCCAGCTCTGGAACCCATGTCCCAGGCCCTCAGGGCATGGGGCTCCATGGAGGTCCATGGTGACCCGCTCCTCACCAATCCCACTTTCTGGGCTGTGCAACCCCAGACTCAGTGAGAGGAGTGCGGATGGGTGAGAATAGAGTCACAGCCCTGTCTCCTCTGGAGAAGACTGCATGCCTCTGCCAGCAGAGAGTTTCAAAGGGCTTTGGAAAACTATCTTCATCCTGAAGAAACCCAGAGTATCAGGGCTAGATAGGACTGTGAAGGGGACACAGAGAGGCTGCCATAGCAGATGTGAGGCCCTGCAAGCAGATGACCCTGCCCAGTGCTGAGGCTGAGGGTCCCCTGAAGTGCTCCCAGAAGAGAGCCCTGATTCTGCCACAGAGAAGTGAGAGGCTGCTGGTCTTAGAGGGCCAGGCTGGGGGAAGCACAAGGCGTGGTGTGGATGAGTCCTGGAGATGTGCTGTTCCCTGGGATGCCCTTTGGTACCAGTTCCATAGCCAAGGACTTGGAGAGTCTCAGCAGAGCAGTTTTGCTGGTGGCATAGCCTCCAGCCTCTAAGAAGGAAATGAAATGGGAAAGGCACTGCCACTGGGAAGAGGGTCCTTGCCAGACCCCCAGGTGTGGAGGCTGAATATGTGGGCTCTCAGGCTTGCCCAGATGTTCCCCACCCAACCCCTGGGAAACACCAAGGAGCAAAATCTGAGCAGGAGTGGGAGGAAGCCTGGGCTTAAAGAAAACCATCAAAGTAGAGGCTGCTTGCCCAGTCTTGGCCCAGAGAGAAGCACTTATGGCACAAGGTCAGAGAACTAGACCAAGGACACCCAAGGTCATCCCCTGCTTGGCCATGGACTGACTGCCCTTGGACAAGTCATTAAGATCTCCCAGCCTCAATTTTCTCATTTGCCACTCTGAGTTAATAAGTCCTGCTCCATGACAGTCACCAGAAAGTCATGCAGGGGCACTGATAGCCTATAGTGCCCCCTGGTGTCATTTTTAAAGAAATCTTTCTTCTGAGTTCACACAGCCCTCTTGGTACCTGACATCATGAGTGAAAATGTTAAAGCCACCCCATCCTCAGGCTCAGGTAGGAATTTGCAGAGCCAGATTATCTTCAACATGAAGAAATTCAGGGGTTGAATGCCAGACAGGAATAAATAATTCATCAGGGAAGACAGGGAACATGGCTTGGCAAGCAGAGCATGGACTAGATTTCAGCTCCCACTTGTTTCTAGACTAGGTGCTCCTGTGCAGTGAACAACTTTTACAACCATACATGGCAGCTTAAGGGTTGTGGGGACTGAATAAGATAAAAGCAATGACAATTATTTTACATGTGGGAAGGGCAGAGGTACAATGTACACCCTTAGATTTTATTAGTATCAAGGTGTAGAGGAAATACATACAAGATCAGTATGTATTTCCTCTACACCTTGATACCCACTCTACTGCCCCATCCCAACGTGCCCCATCCCAACGTGCCCCATCACTGTTTGAGATGCATAGGCAGCAGCAGCGGCCATAAGCACCTCCAACTTTCTCTATGAGAAGACAGACAGGTGTGAACCAGTGGAGCCAGAAGCCTTGTTATCCTGCAAGTGATGAGGACACAGACTGAGAAGTGAGGGAAAGTAGGGAGAGTGCAGTGTCTGGGGAGGAGTGAGGCTCTTTGCAGAAGTTAGACCCAGAGGGTCCTGACACCATGTCTCCCACTAGAAAACCCCGGAGCTCCCTGGAATCACACAAAGCGTGGTTGGGCAGTAAGTGGATCTCAGTTGATCCCACTGGGAACAGGAAGCCATCAGTGTGTGGCTGGGGCAGTGGTTGCCACCCTGGGGAGCGCCTCTCCCCTGGGAAAACCCCCAGCCCATTTAAATTTGTCTGGGTTCCAAATCTCACTCTCCAGCTGGAGGGGTGGCTGGTCTGAAGGACAAGAAGAGCAAACACGGGGATTGTCTCCACCACGAGGACTGAGGAGCCCCGTTCCCTGCCACTGCCCACACCCAGCCATTCTCAGGGGACAGAGCATATCAGAGGTGATAGGGACTCCTATGGCTTTGGAGTCTGATGGCCACACTCCCTCCAAATGTTCCCTTTCAGTGTCAATCACATTGCCTGTGATGACAGGGACCAATGAGCCTGAAGATGTGGTTTGGGAAGTGATGAGACAGAAAGAGAAGAGAGAGAGAGAGAGAGAGAGAGAGAGCATGGTCCTACGTGCTCTCCTTGGGATACTCCAACTCCCGGCCCCTTCCCAAGTGTCTCCCTTCAGGAGCGAGAGCCAGGCAGCTTCAGAGCCATTGCCACCCTCACCCCTCTTCTCCATGAGGGGCCGCAGTAGGCGGGTCCTGACATTCATGCTCAGGGTCTGAAAGCAGAACAGGGTGGGGGGCCAGCCCTCTGCCCATCCAGAGTCCAGGGCCAGGGTGACTGTGGGAGGAGCTGGGGGTCAGTGCTGCTATTCTCCACGTGACCCCGGAGTTGTGGAGAAGGGGCCTGGGGGATCTTTCTTCCTCCCCAGGGATATACAGAATTCTTGGCCAATCAGCCTCTTCATGACATGGGCTACACAGATTGTCCCTAGAATACAGCATCGTCCAGAAAAGCAATTCTGTGGAAACAGCATGGGGAGGGGTGTGAGGAAAGGCACCGGTGCCTTAGCATCTGCTCTGAGGTGTGGAGGCGGGAGGTCACATGGCATAAACACCAGCCCTGCTCAGGACACAACTCAGGGACAAGTGCTGAAACATGAGTTTCTTATAAAAGTCAGAGGAGGCCTGGTCAGGGCCCTCCACCCAGAGCTGTGTCAGATCACAGGCCCATTCTCTGCTTCCAGGGCCAGCAGGGGACTCAAGACTGACCCATCTCAGGTGGGCCCATCAGGACAGCAAGGACAGGGACAGCAGGAAGGCACCTGAAGTGCCCAGTGGCTTCTGGCTGGGACCACAGGCTTGGGTGGGGATCCCTAGTGTCAACTGTGCCTGTAAACAGGTAAAGTGTCCCTGAGACAGCCCAGAGGGGCTGCTTGGGACCATCAGACTGGGTGCCAGTAAGTCTAGTTGGCCACAGCCTCAGACGCCTGAGCTGGGAGATTCTTCAGGACTAGTGCTGTGTCAGACCTAGAGAGAAGTTCCCACAGGCCACTGGGCAGACTGTCCCAGGTCTGCTCTGCCCAGTAGAAGCAGCGCTGTAGCTTTATAGTACTGTGGGTGGCAGCTAGGGCACAAGCAGGAGTGTGGATAAAGGTGGGAGATGAGAGAACCTCACAGCCCCATGCTCCCCCGGCCCACCTGTCTCTGACCTGCTCGCTGCTGCACCGCCCACATTCTTCCCTGACAGCAAGAAGGGGACATTGCAGACCAGGGTCGGGGAGTGAAAGAAGTTTGTGCTTCAGTGGGAGGTGACTCCTCTTGGACGTCCCTGGAGTCATGCCCGGGTTAAACCCAAGCAGAGGAAAGCAGCACCAAGTGAGGACCAAGAACCGCCTTCCAAGTCAAACTGAAGCATCTCTGCCCAGAACTGCTGCTCTGTAGACTGGGGGCCCCTGGAGTGACCAAGCACATGGTCTACCTTAATACCTGTGATGGAGAATTCAGTCGGTTATGGTTTTAAAATAACCACCGTTCCTCCTTCCGCCCCTGGCCCCTCACCACGGCCACCAGCCACTCTGGGTCCTGGGCCTTCCCCATGTGGCACTTGGTGCTGGTCACACTCAGCCCCTCACTGTGCCGCGTCTCCCCACTGACAACCCCATGGGCCCTGTGCAACCGGCCCCGGACTCCCGGCAACCGCTTAGCCAAGATTTCAGTCAGAGCTGGGGTGATGGCTTCAGCCCTTCCCACCCTCCTCTTAGGAGCCTGATTGTGAAATATGAATGTGTTCCCTAGTGCCCCAGCCTCCAAATCTCCAAAGCAGGAAAGAGAAACTGGCACTTGTCGAATACCTGCTATATGCCAGGCTTTCATACTACCCCATTATAGAAGTATTACTGTCATATTTTACAGAGATGTCCAGGTCAATCTGCACATCGCCCATGTAAAAAGTCTGGAGCCAGCATTCAAAGCCAGATAAAAGTCCAAAGACTCTGCTCATCCACCATCTCACTTTGCTTCCTAGAAAAATGGGAATTTAAAGAAAGAAGCTCACCCTTGGAGCTGGGTGAGGTGGCACACGCCTCTAATCCCTGCAACTCAGGAGGTGGAAGCAGGAGAATCGCAAGTTCAAAGCCAGCCACAGCAACTTAGCTAGGCCCTAAGCAAGTTAGTGAGACCCTGTCTCAAAATAAAAATTTTAAAAAGAGGGGCTGGGGATGCTGCTCAGTGGTTAAGCACCCCTGAGTTCAATCCCTGGAACCAACAACAACAAAAAGGAAGAAGCTCACCCTTGGAAAGATGCTCATTCCCAGAGCTGAGTTATGGGAGGTGGAGATGGGGAGGGACATGAACATCCCCTGGACACATGCAGGCCAGGGACTCCTATTTATCCACCCCTGCTGGGACCCAAGGACGACAGCCACTTTGTCAGCCAGGACACAGCTCCTATCCACCCTCCTTCTATGCATTCTTAAGGAGAGAAGAGCCAATGAGCAAAGAAGAGCCCAAAGTCCAGCACATAGCCCCCAGCATGGCAGCCAGTTGTCAGGTCCCAATCTTGCTGGAACGAACCCTGGAAAGAAAATCAGCATTGGGGAAGGTGTGTCTCCATGGGTCCTTTGTGGTGGTACCTCCCAACATCACCAGTCCCAACAGGAATATGCAGAGCTTTTCTCAATCCATTCCCCAGACCAGCTTCCCCATCCTAGTGGGCCACTCCCTCACCAGAGCAAACAGCGCCAGGCACATGGCAGGTACCCAAGGGGTTCTTTGCTGACCACCAAATCCCTTACAGGGTTGTAACTCCATGTCTTGAAATTATTCCCTCCTTCCCTTCTCATCCAGACCTGGTCATGCCACTTGTTTCTCCTTAATATCTCCAGTTTCTGTCCTTCCTTTTATATCTCAGGGCTACAACTCTAGGCTCAGTCCCCATTGTCTCCCCAGCTTGTTGCAAGCCCCTCTGTGCCCTGGTCCCACCTCACCCCAGATCCCAGATGCACCACCTCTATGGCTATGCTGTTCTGCTCCTCTCTGGGGGTTCTCTTCCCCTCTTCTGCAGGGCTGCTTTGGCAGCCCTTCAGCCCCCATCCCCCTGACCCAGTCTCATCTCAGAGCAACTCCTGCTCCTGATGCAGTCCTGGCTTTGCCCCCTTTTGTTCCAGCATCCTCTGCCTCCTTCAGAAGACTGACGAAGATTAATAATGATAATAAGGGCTGCATTGAGCATTTAGGTGGCAGAAAACACACTAAACACTCTATGGCATTTCCCTCTGTTATCTTCTTCTTGTCTATGTGGTAGGTACTATTATTGACATCCCCATTTTGAAGATGAGGATACTGAGGCTCCAAGATGGAACTAACTTTCTCAAGCTCAACATGAGTTAGAGAGGAGCTCTGGCTCGAACTGAGAACCCAGAATCCTCCATACTCTTACCTTAATCCTTTCTCTCTGCCAGTCATGGAATCCTTGCATCTACTTTTCCTGAAGTGCTCCAAATTATATTTGTATCCTTATTTCCTTAAAAGGTCACTTAATTTTGATCTGTAGAACACTTATGGGTAAAGATCTATAGAAAACAAATTGTAGAAATTTGTTGATCAGGTGGATTGACATTTCTAAAATCTATTCAATTAATTGTTTGTCTTAAGGAGAGTCTCCCCTTTTATAGAATTCTCTCCTGCCTCTTAATAAGCCAGGCACATGCTCAGCCCTTAGCATGTACATTTCAACAAGCAGTGCCTAGGGACAGAACATATAAGGCTGCCCTCTGTTCTGGTGAAGTGCAGGATCTCATTTTGGAAAATGATCCTATGGAAGCGATTAGATAATAATATGACAATAAATAATTGTGTGTCTTCATGGCTAATATAAGGCAGGAACAATCTTCCAGGCATGGAGAGGCAGGAAAGCACCCATGAAGGAGCTGGGATGGTCCTGACACCAGAAGGGGGAGTGTTTGGAGAGGGGGCCGTGGAACACTCCAGGTGCTGTCCACTTGTAGAATGGTGAAGAGTCAAGGGTTCACGAATTAGAATGGAGGGGCAGGGTGAGGAATGGTTCAGTGAGCTGTAGGATCAGGGGCTTCTGCTGTGGACAATGGAAAACTACTGGAGATTTTCACACTTTAGGGTATATAGTTAGCTAGAGATGATCTTTCTCAGGGAAGCACAAATCTCCTTCAATGTGATAAATGACAAATCATCACAAACTTTATTCTAGGTTCAAATTAATAAAGGTGGCCAATCACTCTTATTCTATTGTCCATCTTTCATTTAGTTTAATTTTCTTCCACTTTATAACTGGTCTGTAGCAGTCTTTTTAAATACTCTTGACAATGCTGTCCAAGTAGAGACTTAATATTTGTGATGTAACAAATGCATTGTCGGAAAGATCCTGAGAGGTTCTTGATTATCTGAACAAAGATCTGGGTCCAGACTCTCCCATCTCCCAATGAGAGGGACAGCACCTAAGCTCAGTTCTCAGCAGGGACAATGGCTTCTGCAACTTCCCACAGGCCTCAAGCTTCCAGATCTGGAGGAGCTGGCTGTCCCAGAAAGCACTCAAGAAAAACAGGTACCTAAGCCCTTTGTGCCTGGGCCCCGATCTTTTGACAACGAATGGGTCAGTTCCTCAAGCTGCATATAGAAGCAAGGTAGCAGAGGTTCAACGCCACTCCGCTGGAACCCAAACCTACTGTATCAGCAGCAGACCACTCAGCTTCAGTTCATCTTTCCAGGAGATGCTGAATAGATGGGACACAGCATGGATCTCTCTTCTTCTTACTGACTCAGTTTTAATCAGCTTTGCATCACTGTGACTGAAAGACCTAACAAGAACACCTTAGAGGAGGAAAAGTTTACTTTGACTCATATTTTCAGAGATTAAGTCCATGGTCAGCTTATTCTATAGCTCTTGATCCAAGATGAAGAAGAACATCATGGTGGAAGGGTGTGGCAGAAGAAAGCGGGTCAGGACAGAGAGCTCAGCTCACCAGGGACAAAAGCATGCCCTCAATATCCTCCAGCCACATCCTACCTGCATATAGCTATGACCTAGTTAATCATAATCTAGTAATTAAGTATGAATACTCTTGGATCCCTCACACACAAGCTTTTGGGGAACACCTCATAAATAAATAATAACATACTCTTACTTTGAAAGTTTACCCTATAAAGCCTGGCTCTAAACCTCTACAATGTGATGTGGTATACTTTGTTGGTTGCATAAAATGTGGTAAGAAGGAACTCATCTTCCATGGCAATAGAGATTCATCAATTTTCCAAGGAATAGAATCCATGGGTTCTCTGGATTATCTTCTTTACCTGTTTTTATTCCATCAGTCATCCCAATATGCATGCCATTTATAGGCAGAGGATTACCAAATATGTCTTTCCTTTCTCTTGAGCCCCAGGCTCACATAATTAAATGTCTACTTGACATTTTCACTGAAATGACTCATAAATATCTCAAACTTCATATAGCTGTGATGGTTTTAAAATATGTCCATAATCTCCATAATACTCTTCCTTCAAGAAGTGGAGACTAGGGCTGGGATTGTGGCTTAGCGGTAGAGTGCTTGCCTAGCATGGGCGGGACCGGGGTTCGATCCTCAGCACCACATAAAAATAAAAGAAGTGGAGATTAGTCAAATGGAGACCAGAGGAGTGGAGGAAAGACTGAGGGAAGAGAATGGGAGGGAAAGGGGAAATACTGGGAAATGCTATTGGCCAAATTATATTCTACTGTGTGTATGAATGAATTTGTAATAATGAATCCCAACATTATGTGTAATTACAATGCATTACTTTAAAAAAATATGGAAAAAATAAGTGTAGCCTAATAGCCTTGCCCTTGAGTGTGGGCTGCTGGTCTTAGTGATTCCCTTCTAAAAACTAGAAAGAGATAAAAGTGATGGTATGTAACTTTAGGAACTAGGTTTTTAAAAACAATCTCCATGACTTCCACCTTGGTTTTGCTCTTTCTTAGATCCCTTTCCCTGGAAGGGCCCACATACTGAGGAACTGAGGTATTCTGCAATAGCTGTTGAGAAATCCAAATCAAAGTGGAATTTCAGCCCAATCAAACTCCCAGAACCTCTAGCCCATGTGGACCTCCTGAACAGAAACTTATGAGGAGCCTGAGCTAGAACCACCCAACCAAGCAACTCTTTACTTACTGGCCCACAGAAACTGTGAGATAATAAATGGTCATTGTACTAAATCACTAAATCATGTTTGTTTGTTTGTTTGTTTTTTAACATACCAATGGGTAACATATACAGCATCCAAACGGAACTCCTCGGGTTTCCCCTAAACCTGCTCCATCTGTATCCTTCCCCATCCCCACAGGTGGCCGTTCCATCTTTCCGGATGCTCAGGCTTAAGGGTTTGGAGCCGTCATTCATTCTTCTCTTTTTCTCACACTTCACACTGTCCAAAAACCCTATTGATATCTTCAGTGTACATCAAACAGTGACATTTCCACCACTTGCTCTGTTACCAAATGCAGGTTCACAATCTTGCCACACAGAAAACCAATATCTGAAAAAATGAGTATTTGGGGAAAAGAAAGTAAGCCTTATTAAGGGTGCTAGCAAGTGGGAAAGAGGCAGACTGATGTCTTCAATATCGTCTTCCCCATCTTTAGGGAAGTAGGGGATATTGATATGAGGACCAGATGAGGTACTGTCTGCAGAAGTAGTGTTTTTCAGGGGCTTGTGTTAGTCTGGCACTCACAGGAGGTGGTGAGCTCCTGAGGACAGCGTTGTCTTATTGTAAGGCAGGACTCTCCAGTGTCAGGTCCATTTTGTGTTTAGCTGTCAGCTCCTGAAATCAGTTCAGAAAAACAAGAAAGATTACCAGAATGCAGAGGGAAGGCCACCATAGTCTGAGAATAAGAAAGGAAACAGAAATAGAGCAAGAAGTTTTGCTGAAGAAAAAGGTGTTTGTTTTGTTTTGCGGTACTGGAAACTGAACCCAGGGGCACTCTACCCTTGAGCTGCATCCCCAGTGCTTTTTTTAATTTTACTTAGAAACAGGGACTTGCTCTGTTACCCAGGCTGGCCTTGAACATGTGACCTTCCTGCCTCAGCTCCGGAATAACTAGGATTATGGACATGTGCCACCACAGGCCCAGAAAACACTTTTAACCCAATTAAATGGCTTCAATCAAAGGTGTCGTCTACAGCAAAGCCAGTGGGAGACAGGATGTATTTCTCAGCTGTATGATTTCCAAAATCAGTGATTTTTTAAAGTCAACTAAAAGCAAGTGCAGCTAGAGGGTTGTTTAGGTGCCCCCTCAGTTCCACCACAAATGACACCTTAGGAAGACCACCATTCTCTCCCTCCCTGCCTCCACCCTTTCCTATCTAAAGCTCAACCTCAACCTAGGAGACTGAGTGCAAGCAGAGAAGGTGACATTTTTACTTAGAAGCCCACAGTAGCTTCCACACCTCTCAGAGTAAGAACCCAAATACTTACAATGGCTTATAGGGCCCAAATAATTTGTGTTTCTTCCTTCCCTCTCAGACCTCTAAACTAACACAGAAAGATAGACTATGCATAGGCAGCCAGAAAAAGGGTCTCAGAGAAGAAAAGGAGGAAGAGAGGATTTGGCAATCAAGCTTCTGATCCCAGCTACTCCTAGCCACAAAGACAGTTCCTTAAGAGACAAGATGGACCACAAAAGGTACTTCCTCTTGTGCCAACAGACTCTCAGCCCCACCCTTGTGCTAATAAAGACTTAAAAGTTACTTTTATCAGATTTTCTGAAGAAGACAAAATAGAGAGAATTGACTGGCTCCTTTCTGAATCCCATCACCCCATCAATCAACTATAGGGACAAATCAAGCCCATAAAATAAATTAAAAAAACAACAAGAAGAAAACAGATACCCATTGGCATGTCCTAGGGACACCTTCCCCTTCGGGACTCTTCCTTCCTTTCTTTCTTTCTTTCTTTCTTTCTTTCTTTCTTTCTTTCTTTCTTTCTTTCTTTCTTTCTTTCGTCTTTCTTTCTATTACTCTTAAATATCCCATTACTTTGCTCTCACCTTTGGATCCATGGATTACATTCTTCAGATTATGAGACAAAGAACCTACCCATCCACACTCCCCACCAGCCACCTGGGCCTCCTGGCTGTTCCTCAACTCTGCCAAGCATTCTCCTGTCTTAAGCTTGTGCCCTGGCCCTTCCCTCTGCCTGAAATACATTTCTACCAGATACCAACACACCTATCACCCTCTCTTCCTTGAGTCTTTGCTTAATTGTCACTTCTCAATGGAGCCCAACTTGACCACTGTGTATACAACTGTAAACTACCCACCTCTCCCATCTAGAGCCCTCTTACACTGCTTAATTTTTCTTTTTCCACCATATTTATCACATTCCAACATACAATGTAATTTCCTTATCATAATATCTATTGCATCCCCCACTGAATGTGAGCTCCAAGACAGCACTCAGGTGCCTAGGACAGTGACTGGCACATAGAGACAGCTCAAATGTTTGTTGAATGAACCGATAACTCTTCAAGTCCCTAGATAAGACCTTCATGCACTTTTAATCTAAAGCTAGTGATTTCAAAATTATTTCAAACTTGCTTTTTTTTTTTTTTTACCTGAGGGAGAAAGACTTAGGAATGAATCTTGACCACCTAAGATCAGTTCTTGCTAACAACATTAACTTTTATCAAATGGGAATGCCAGGCAGGAGGGCAGGAAGGAAATAATGAACCTTTGAATTTTCAAATACTCAAATCCAAAGATAGCAAAAGAGCTACTATTGATACAGATGCAATAAAGTGCATCATTGCAGCATAGACTGGGAATATTAGGAAACTCATAGCAAAGTACTATAGTAAGAGACTTAAGAAACAACTACACCCATGGTTTCATAATCCCTGATATTTTAAGTCTGGCATAAAATCAAACAGTGCTGTCCAAAAGAAATATAATTTGAGCCACATATTTCAACATGTACTCTGTATAAAAGTTATGAATGTGCTGGGTGTGGTGGTGCACACCCGTAATCCCAAGGAGTTGAGAGGCTAAAGCAGGAGGATCACAAGTTCAAGACCAGTCTGGGAAACTTAGAGAGACTCTGTTTCAAAATAAAAAAATAAAAAGGCCTGAGGATGTAGCTAAATGTTAGAGTGCCCCAGTGTTAAATCCCTTGTCCTGGAAAAAAAGTTATTAATGATATACATCACATTCTTTTCATACTAAGTCTTTAAAATTCTATTCTATCTTAAACTAAATTTTATTCTATTTTACACTTAGAGCAGATCTTAGTTTGGACTAGCAACACTTCAATGCCATAGCCACATGTGGCTGATGACTTTTATATTGAACAGTACAAATAGACTATTTCAAACCAGGATCATGCATGAGATGCATTTCCATCTTGGTCCAGGAATTGTTATAGATTGGTGATAACTCACCCTCCTGAGAGGGATGTCCACAAACTTTACATTCTACCAGCATCCGTGAACATCTACGAGGCTATAATACTTATCCAAGTCCAGTATGTTCCTGATAAAGTGTTGTCCTGGTCTCCTAGTTTTCAGCAACACATGATCTAAAAGAATGGCAATAGTACAGAAAAACCTGTATGTTTTGAGTACATGTATCATTTTTCTAAAATTAGAGCAAATCCT